ACAAAGTACATGAGAATAAATTATCGTATATTAATGACAACAGACAGTAGCAGCAAATGCTCATATTTTCATCATAAATTATAATAAAACAATTAATGTGAATGATGGAACTCTTTTTGCATTCTTAAAATCTGATTAAATTGAGGTTCAAATTTTGAAACGCTAATCACAAGTAGCGACTTTAAATGTTCATCGGATAAATTTGCCCTGTATTTCGACTTGATGTACTTCATCTGGGAAAAAGTTTGTTCACACAGATATGTCGTCCCAAAAATGGAGATAAATTTACAAGCAAATTTCTTTAAATTTGGAAATTGCTCAGAGTTCAGAAATTTCTAAAATTCGATCAAATTTCCTTCCTTGTATTTGTCTTTAATATGATAATTTTCCTGAAGTCCAATAATTTCCATTTGAATTTGACTTGAGACATCTGCAGCATCACAGTCAAACGGATTTTGAAACAATCTAATTTCCTGAGCACTGGAATCCAAATCAGCAAATCGCTTCCGAAATTGTTCTTTCAAACCTGAAATGACTAAATCTGCAAACGAGGAAGGAAATTCTGCTTCACCCTTTTTATGCAACTCTGCACAGTACAGCATACGAACAAAGTTACAATTTTTCACTTGGCTTTCCAGAAGTATCAACTTTGCTCTGAATGCCTTGATAAGTGCAAATAAATCACAGACTAAGTTATTTTCACCCTGCAACTTTAAATTCAAATGGTTCATATGGTTCACCACATCAGCAAAACTGCTAATTTCCAAAGCCACTCGGTATCTGATAAAAGTGGTTCGTGATGGTTTTTCTCGGTAATAAACATAACAATTTCATTCCTGAGCTGAAAGAAGCGCGAAAGAACCTTTCCACAGCTAAGCCATCGAACTGCAGTATAATATGTCAGGTCCATAAGCGGAATCACATTTACCAGTACTCACTGGGAAATTAGTTCAAGTGGCGCATTTCTGCAGAATTCTTTCGCCGGCCGGATAAAATCACATCGCGGGCCGCATGTGGCCCGCGGGCCGTAGTTTGGAGACCCTTGGGTTAGAACCTACTGTACTACTGTATACATTTCTAGGCTTAGAGATATACTACTGCTAAAGCAGAATTTTGTTTTGTGAATAATTTATTACTATACCGACCGAGTTACCGCCGCTTCTCGACGAAGTTAGTGCAAACTTTAGCGAATAGAGAGTGTTGCGTGGTCAGCGCAACGAACCCCCACGGCTGCTAATTTCGGTTTTCTAGACCGGAGCCGCTGTTTCCTTGAAATAGCTCCTCAATTAGCCTCACAAGGCTGAGTGGACCCCGTTCCAGACCCACTATTTCTCACAAAATCTGGTGGCGCTGGGAATTGAACCCGGACCTCTGGATCTGTAGACAGTACTTAAATACAGAGTTAGAACTGAGCGGGCTGGAGTAGCAATAAAGACCTTGATTTGTATTCAAGATGTTCTCGTTTGAATCTCAGCGGCGCCATCGACTATTCTGACGCGTTTCGCGGTTTTCAGTATGTTAAAAATTATATCTGCATATTACATTTACTAAAATCTTATACAGATGGTCCTAACGGTGTAAATATTACGTCTACTCAGAGAGGAATACATACACTGTTAGGCAGTCTAGCTGAAACCAGGCTAACCGAACATCACAGAAACAACGCAGAGATCCTAGCACGCTTACACATGTAATGTCTTCCCCATTAACTTCTATCAGATAAACCCTTAATTAGCGATAAGATAGTCCGGATTGTCTGGATAATGTGGGACCCTCAACGTCTCACAACTCTATGGGCCTTCACATCCTGGTACAGGGATAGCTTTACTTTACTTTACTTCACACAAGGGGATAAACGATGATACAGGATAATGAAGAATCACAAACTTTCGCAAAACAGTTCATGTTTTTTTTTTCAGAAACGTGGAACAAAAAAATCTAATCATGCGATGTTGTTATTGTTATATTATTATTATTATTATTATTATTATTATTATTATCATCATCATCATCATCATCATCATCATTATTATTATTATTATTATGACCACACCGACAACGCAACCGCCACTAGGATTTGCCTTCTTCTTTCTTCAAAGCTTTTAGCCTACGGATCTGCTTAAATATGTACGTAAGCAAACAGAAGCTCAAAATATGCGACTGTCCACCCATATCAACAACATAATATTAATCTCTATGAACAATTGAGGACGGGTTGAAGCTGCGTTGACAAATAGTGTTCAAGCGTAAGCTTCCACGGCGACTAAAGTGACAACATCTCGAGGGACCGTCGCGTCAAATCGAAGTACAAGTCCACCGTTTCGGAGACCTGCTCTGTTTGGCTGAACAAAAAGGTTTAATCACAATGTTCAAGTGTTACGAAATGTAATTTGTAATTTAAAGTAATTTCTGTGTCAATAAATGGTGCTCATATAAACAGCATTTCTTCGTTTTGCATGTCTACATGTGACATCAAATGCAAAGCTATGTTTGACGTTTGCTTCTATTTCGTTTCTTGCTTTGTTTACTCTTCGACAATGAAAATGGGATCGATATATTCCTCCGAAACGTCGGGATTTTTTTACCGAACTACATAGGGTTACAGCCCAGAAGACCGTACACTTCATATTCACCGCTATGAGACACTCAAATTCATCATAGCTTTTGTTCACACTTCATGCAGTGGACTTAAAACACTAGAGATGCCTTCGTACTCATTTGAATATACCAAAAAAGGAGCTGCCTTAATGTAACATAAAAGACAACTTCAACAATCCGTTGCAATGCGAGTAAACAAACGTCCTGATTTTCATGATAGCCCCCACTATCCCGATAAATAAAAACTTGAATTTGTTTTTATCCAAAATTGGTCTGTAACCGGTCTAGTGCGTGGCTCTTTGAAGGGTCCGAGATCGAATCTCGGACGCCGCTACATCACTGTAAGTTTAGGAGTATGCCTGCCTACTTCTGGGAATAAGGTGGAACTTGTTTTCCAGATGTGGGAGTTCTGAGTCAGGAGGTGCAGTTCGAAGAGTAATACGTGAAGGACACATGCCCAAACCTCTCTCGCTGTCCAGTCAATTATTGTAATGTCGGTTTGGGGCTTCTCACCCTATCGCGGGTCGGCAAGGCCACTACCGAGGTTAATATACCGACCCCTCCTGAGCAACGATTTCTACGGTGTTATGAAGTTCATAGTTACAAGAATGAAAGCAGTGTGTGCGCTCAAAGACAAAAGGAAGCCTGCTATAAAATTTTATTCAAGCCATTTTCAGATTTTCTGTTATAAATATTATGTGCTTGCCGTGCAAAACGGCTTATGCAGTTTAGTAAGTGTTCGTTGTCTTTACATTAAATAGATGTTCAATAGTGAGTGCTTCTTGTATCGTATCTTACAACAAAGAGAAAGGGGAAAGTGCTCTGACCTAACCCCACATCATACCATCCTTCGTCATCCGTGAACCACCGCTCCTCCGTTGCAATCTACGCAATCCTCTTACAAAGTCCCGTCCGATCCTGAACCCAAGACGTCGTGCAAGGATACCGCTGAATGAAGCGAGCATCTAGAGGATCTAGAGTGAACCAAGCAGCTGAAATGTACTTATCCTCAGTGGACGCAGTCCACTGGCGCCCATCTAGAAGTAGGCTGGTAAGCAAGAACTGTGGACGTCGCAAAACTATCGAGCAAAGCGGCGTAATATATACAGAAGCCCCAGAGCGGTTGTAAGTCTTCTCTCGCTCCGCTTAAGAAGCGCTTCAAATGCGTGGAATTGTTTCAAAATGTCCTTTAAATTCACGAAATAAATCAGCGCTAAACTCTAAATTCTAAACTCGCGCTCAGTAATAATTAGTCCTACTATAAAAATTCTGGAGAAATGATACCTGAGGCGACTGAATTGTTTACTAGTTGTTTACACCTGCTTCCGCCAGTTTCGCCATTCAGTGTTTTCTGTACGCTTGCGGTGTATTATGAATGCATGTAAACGTACCTCATATACTAAGAAAGTTAATATGTCACTCTTCCACTAGCCAAGTTCGAGGTTTGGTTGTGCATACTCATTTTCTTTAATTCCATAACCTCATAACCTTGGAGTAAATGAAGCAGACATTTAAGACCATATGTTATACTTAATTTAAGTGTGAAAATACGAATAAGCCTACAAAAGTAAAGAAATTGGCATTAGTATAAGAACAGTACTAATTTTGGGAACCGTTGTGAATCTGTAGGAAAATTACAAATCAATATTCAGAAACTTGTTTATATTTCCCGCTGAGGCTGACAAGGATTACTACAGAGTGCCTTCGAGCAGTATTTCGGATACAGCACATATACACAGACGAAACCTGGGTCAGGTTTAACCATTAGCAAACAATCTAAAGTCATTAATATTGCCCTATGCGGCAACGAAACGCAAACATTTCGACTTCGGTAGATTACGCCTCAGAAATTTGAAATAAGTCTTAAAGATTCAATGCCAGTAACATCAAGTCTATTGCAAAACATACGAATACCACCACAAAAATGATGCCTGTAAGGTGTTCAGCACGGAATTAATGAATATTTCGCTAAAATATAATCACAAAAGGAACATAAACTGATGTAATGTCTAACATTCTATTCTACTTTCTCACACTCCTAAAATTAAAAATTAATGTCATATAGATACAGAACTCTCTAATAATTTATATGTAAGTGGAATCCAGAAGTATTAGCAAAAAATAAATCATCAATAGCATCATTAAGGCTGAATTAGTTTATAAGTTAAAGAGTATCCTTTCTTGAATGAATATATCTTTGGGATAGTTTTTTATTTAGTTTCGTTGTTCGGATTGTATTAACGCAATTCGTTCTTAAAAGTGTTAGATAATTGCCAATGAAATCTCACATTTTGAAGTTCTCAGTGTTGGATTCTGCAGTCCGAAACACATGACGGTATGACTGGACGAACTTTGACAGATAACTAGAGAAAGGATTGCACGTAGTTGGAAGAAATGCTTACCCAATCTTTCTCCGGTTTCCTAAATTCTGAGGATCCCGGTTCTATCCATGTTCACGATGAAAAAGCACACACATTTAGTCCTTTGAGACACATACTTATCACAGCTTTACACTTGTGTCTCATAATTTCATGCACAATTTCAGGAATAATCCTCCGACATCTTTAACCCGAATCCGGCCATGTTTGACTGTGCAAAAACAGATTTGAATATCAGCGCCATCATGTAGGATATTGCACAACTGTAATGATTCGTACTTGTATCGACCGCATAGATAGCGCTTGCAGTCACATTTCACCGGCAGAAACAGAAATATGAACTAAACATAAAAGAATAAAATAAAATAAAAAAGAAATAGAAGGGCCGGATGAGCATTGCCTATGCCATTTTTGTGTATACATTTTTTTTTTTCAAAATGTAAAAAGACAGAAACCGCTATGATAGAATAAGATATTAATAAGAATGTGCTATAGAGGGTTGGATGGGTATTGTCTAGGTCATTTTTTCAAAATAAAAAAGAATAATCATTTGGAACGAACTGGAAGAAGAAAGGCAAAGACGAGCTTGACAGATTCTGTCAAAACACCGAAAGTGGCAGAGGAAAGAGCTCCTTTGAAAGGTTCTACGGGAATGGCTCTTCTCTGTAGTTCCGCAAACTAAAATGAACCATCCTGCCTTCATGTCAACTAACTGTATGTGAGCAGGCCACTCCGGCCTTCAACAAGCTTAAATAGATTTAACATTGTGTCCACGACTGAATGTGAATGTAGTGGTGGGTTCCAGATGGAGGAACATAGCTTCTGGGATTGTAAACTGTATGAGGGCTAAAGGGCAACAATGATCGACATTTTGTCTAAGAACGAGATAAAAGAAAACAAATTTGTGCAATGTGTCTATTACTTCATAAACAAAATTCCTAAATTTATTTTTAAAAAAGGAAAGGAGTAAATGTACAAACAGCAACGGTATAGCCTTACAGTTAATACATATATATATATATATATATATATATATCCATGGGTTACACAGGAGATGATGAGTAAAATGGAGGAGCGAAGGAAATGGAAGAATGTCAACAATGAAGAAGGCAGGAGGAAATACAGGAGACTCAGGAATGAATTGAAAAGAGCCACGGACAGGGCCAAAAAGGAATATCTTGAGAAGATATGTAATGAGATTATAGAATTTCAAAGAACAGGACGTTATGATTTGATGTACATGAAGACAAAAGAACTAGGATGGAAAGAGAATCA